CAAATTCTGACCAGAATGGGTTGACACTTGACAGCTTCCAGACATCACAGCCCAAGAAACTAGCTTGGCTGCACCACGCCCTTCTCTAATTATTATATCTAAAGATGGCCGTGGCTGCACACACCAGACGATATGCCTGGTTGAATGTTGTTGAATGAATGTTGAATTAAGAATCGACATCACAGCACCCGGGACACTAACATAAGCGCTCCGTCCCCAGCTTCAGCAGCAAGTTAAGAGTTACAATTCCGATAGCACCAGTAACTGTCTGATTGTATAACCGTCTCGCCTTTTCCCTGAGTGTCGAGTGTCGGCCAAATCCCTTTGTAACTCGTCGCATGCCATTCTCCTCAAACTGTAATGACCTATCTGTGCCTCGGCACTGTTCCCTCGCTCCCAAAGGGTCTTCACTACACCCAGCTTGTCATACATCAGTTCAAGTGGTGCAGAACCGGCCAGTCTATCTGCCTGCTCATTTACCAACACACCGGCATGACCTGGAGAAAATATCCAAAGGATGCTAACCAAGAGGGATTTTTGAAGTGATGATTACCACTCTGCACGGAGCATGCCTGTCTCCCCCTTTCTCAACGTGATCTGTGACGGCATGTGTTTACAGCTGATTCTCAAGCCAGCGGAAGGCAACAGTGACTGCTTCCACCTCCATTCTCAAACTAGACGTGATATGCCTGGATGAAAGGAAAATGAAAGAGCCGACAGACCGGCCATGTCTACAGTGGAGGAAAAAGTAAGTAAAGTATGGACAGTGCAGATACACTGAATTTGCTGAGTTCGAGAAAAGTCGAGACAAAGTAGACAAGACGGTTAGGTTATTTGCGTATCCTTTACAGGATGTTGCAGAACCAACCCCAGCAGCCCCCGGCTGTTGTGTGGTTTCTCTAACTCTAGGCAAATTTACGTCCAGTAGTTTGCTATTGGTCGGCTCTGTGGCTAAGTCGATGTGAACGCTTCGTAATGACGGGATGCCGGGTTCGATCCCAGCTGCAGGCCATGCGCCCTGCGTTGGTTTCGACAGTTGTATCAAGAAAGCCGACCGTCCAGAGGCAATGGCAAACTACTGGAAGAAATTTGCCTAGAAAAACCACACAACAGCCAGGGGCTGTTGGGGTTGGTTCTGCAACGTCATGTAAAGGATACGCAACTAACCTTTAGTTTGCTATTCCTACTGGACGGTCGGCCCCTTGATACCACTGTCGAAACCAACGCAAGGCGGATGGCCCGCAGCTGGGATCGAACCCGGCACCCCCGCATTACGAAGCGTTCGCATCGACTTAGTTACAGAGACGACAGACAAGACGATGAACTCTCTATTCAAAATGTGTATAAAACGATGACAAGCTTATAGACACCAGTTGTGGGGCAAAGAAAGACGATGTGCCAGTCAACTGCTTCTTGGTACGTTGTGCATGGAGGTGCTGAGATGGCTGCTGCGTTAGAGAACGTAGCACCAATGGGTTGGACAAATATGTTAGGATGTTTATCCAGACAAGTAACAACGGTGTCCCCCCCCCCCCCCCCCAAAAAAAACACTGTGTTTTGCGGCTTAATGGAGTGTCCTGGATTTGTGCCTGTTTGATTCGCATCATTGAGATGTTAATTCCACATAATGTAATCCTGGTGGGAAACAACTATAAAAGAAGAAGAGCGGATCTTGTTAGTCACACTCGCCCTCGACATGGGCTGTGACTCCCACCCCCCACTTGAGCCCACTATGAAAGTAGCATCTGGAAGATGGGAAAGTGCCAGCAAAGAGAAAGCATTAATAAACACACACACAGATTTAAAACTTATAAAATAAATTAATATGACAATTTTCTAAAATGTTTAAAAACTTGATAATAACCTACGAATATGTAACATTATTTCTTAGTGTCTCCGTGTTTGTTTTTGCTGTAAGCGCCACAGTTGGACGAACTGCGCCCAGGGCTGTTGAAGTCGGCATTTTCATACACATTTGGTACTATTTGACACTTGCCGAGCACAACTGTACTGTTGGCACCAGGCCCGTTGTTTTAGTATGTTTTAACAAATTGTTTATCCATATTTTAAATTTTAACACTGTGTCGAACCTTTTTTAACCCTAAGTTTTCGGTCATCATCACCAATTTCCACTTCTGCCGTTAAGCTTTGAAGGGAGGACAGGGTTGCCATCCACTGCTTGATAGGCAGCAATGGCTATTGTCATTCCGTGTCGATGTAGAAGCTCTTTAATGTCATCAATCCATTTCTCCTAGGGCTATATCTTGCTTTCATTTCAGATCTTTTCATGTGTAGCGCCTGCATTGTTTAAGTTATTTGTTAAGTTATTGGTAGTGTACTGAAAATAAGCGGGATGCAAATGTTGATGCAAATGTACCATTTGGTTTGATTGGTCTAGTGCAGTGTTCTTCAACTTATGGACCACTGCCCACCTGTCCAAGACATTGCAGAACCAACCCCACTATTTCTTGGCTGTTGTGGTTTTTCTAGACAAATTTTACGTTTAGTAGTTTGCCAGTGCTTTTTTAACGGTCAGATCTCGGTACCACTGTCGAAATCCGATCAAACCCGACACCGCGGTATTACGAATCTCGTTCGCATCTCCTAAACCACAGATACTAAAAATGGGTACTGTAATGTAACACAGAATGTGACTCGAAAGCTCAACGGGGTAATGGAGAAGACGCACAAACACACATGTGACTAGAAAACTCACTAGAAGGAATGGAGAAGATGCATACGTTTGTGTGCGTCTTTTCCATTCCCTGTGTTGAGCTTTCTAATCACATTTTGTGTTATATTTAGCATTTCTTGCAATCAGCTCGACTGCAGTCACCCCCTATTTACCTTGACGGGTACAGTAGGTAGTTACTCCTCTTCCAGGGTTGCAGTCTGTAGGATTAATACCCCAAGGATGAGAATCAAATAGGTACAAGTGGTATTTAACATAACAAGTCAGCATTTAAAAACATTAGCTGAAAATAAGGGCGCTAGCCCAGCTGCTTATATCAAATTTTCTAACCACTAAGAAGATATAATACACTGTCCCTCTCTAGAGAGGCGATGAAGTGAGTCTTGGGGAGAAAATCTGGTGTGGGTATCCAGCCACCTTTCTTGGACACTAGATTGTATTAATGTTTTCATCTCTTGGTGGGTTAAGTCACTATTTTTTTGTACCATGTCACTGCCGCTTCTGGCCAATCTGTCCGCTATTTCATTGCCTTCCAAACCACAGTGACCTGGAATCCACGGCAGTACCACTTTTTTCCCCCAATACGAGTGTGAGTAACAATATGAATGTTAGCCCAGACAGGGATAATAATGATAAAGATAGTACTCCCAATTAAAAAAGTCTAAGGAGAGTGACGTTGTGAGGAGTTAGCAGGGGAATTGACCGACGCTCAACGCTCAAGGGAAAAGCGAGACTAATATAGAATCAGATTATGCCATAGGAATTTGAAATCTTCGCTTGCTGCTGAAGGTGGTGACGGCGCGCTTATGGTAGTTTCCCTGGTGCTGTGATGTCGATTCCTTATCAACATTCAACTCCAAATAAAAAAAAATTTAAAAACCCCACTTCTTTGAAGACTTCAACAATAAATAAATTGATAAGATCGAAGTAATTGCCCCATGACATTAATTGCACCGAATGGAAGCCGCCACAATCGCTTACTAACATACTGAAAGAGAAAAATGCTACACCATTGATGTAATTGACAAAGAATTTAAATTCTGATCAAATTTAAGGTAAGTCAATTATATATATATATATATATATATATATATATATATTATATATATATATATATATATATATATATATATATATATATCGACACTCACAAACACACACACACCAGATTTAACTGCATATGTGTGTTTGCAGACATTTTAAGGTTTTATTAATTAAATACAGGAATGTGGTTTCTGAGACAAATGTAACGAATACCTTGGACGACCAGAGTAACAAACAACGATTGCTTGAAAGAGGCTAATGAAAGTATATCTCTATATACAATAATAAGAAAGAGACCATCACTGTTCTTTGGCCACATAATGAGAAGAGAGACATAGGAGAACATCGTGACAACTGGAAAGTATGTGGGAAAAGGGGTAGAGCCAGACCAAGAGAGATGATGCTGGATGGGCTGAAACGATGGCATGGAGGGATATCATCAAGAGAGCTGTGCCAGTCAACCAGGGATTGTGATCTGTGGAGACGCATGAGCGCCCACGCCAGTTGGCAGGGCACATGATGATGATGATGACAAAAGGTAAAGGTAAAGTCGGGAGATGTGAACCAGCTATGCAACCAGTAAGGACAGCTGATTTTTTTTTTACGTATCCAGAAACCATGAGTTGTAAACCCTTTGGCTCGGTACTATGGATATCGCAACCCTTCGGCATTGATTCCATTATAGGTACCGTTAATCTGGGAGAAATGTGGCTTTTCTGCCTACCCCCGGGAGTGAACCCGGACCACAAGGAGTTCGTCACCTGGCCGCCGCGAACGTCAGGTTTAACCAACTTCGCTAGAGAGCCGGGCAAGGGCAGCTGATAAGAATTGTCATCCTGTGTCGCCGTTCGCACGTAACTCTGTAGCTACAGCGACGTTCCTCTATTTACCCCAGATTGTCAACTCTGGTACCCATTTCCTAGAGGCTGGGTGAACCCCGGAGCCGCCCGGTTTCGAACACCAACCGTGGGCTGCAGCGAGTCGCAGCTGGATTTGAAAGCGAGCCTCTTATCGACTGAGCTAACGACTGCCCCTTTCACCATTTAAAAAAAAAAAAAAATTGGTATTACTTGCCGAAAAAATTCGACAGCCCTGCCTGCACCTACTTCTACTGCTCTAATTTTAGAATATCCTGTGTCGGGTCGGGCTACTTGATTCACTTCATGTCGGAAGCATTTGTTTGAATTATTGTACGATATTTGCCAGGGCTTTTACTGTCTGTCTGGTTTATTTTAACCTTCAGTTTGAACATTATCTTGCGGAGATGCAGGCTATCAAGTGTGTAGTCGTTGGAGATGGGTAAGTCAGTCCCTACTTTATTAATGAGTTACTGTCTGCTGTTACACTACACCCCTGACCAAACGTACGAGAACTGACATACTGGACAAACTCAAAACTGGTCTGTGTGATCGCCAGCTCCACAGCCCCAACGTTTATGCAGTTTTAACACATTCACTCACGCCCTTTTTAAACAGACAGCAGCTGTTCTAACCGTTATTAATATTTAAAGGACCTAGTCACGATCTGGTCTACCAGACTACCAGACCAGATCGTCGGCCACATTTGAAACTTGCAATTCTTTTAGATTCGATAATTCTATTCTATACAATTGAATACAATACAACTGTAGTCAGCAGAGAAGAGATCTCAGATAGTCACATACCGCTGTCAGTAGCACCAGGGGTATTTTTTTTTTAAATGGATAATTTACTTCCTTGTATTGTGACTATGCTAAATTAACCATCTGTTTAGTTTCCAGGTATAAATAACATCGTGTTAGTTACTCTGAACTGTTAGTTTTACATGTTACTGTTGAAAAAATTATTAAAGTAAAATAGCAGAAGAATGTCAAATGTATAAGCTAGTGTAATTAAAATATAATGATTGTGGTAAAAAAAATTAATAATTGTGCAAGCTGTCTTATTAGTCTGAATATTGAATTTTCAACAAAAAATAGTTTGAAAGGAAGTAGAGCTTTGCCAGAGTTCCTGAAGAGAGTACTTTTGAATCATAACTGTCCCTACAACAGCCTCACCCTGTTAGTGGTGTGCTGCCACCAAGAAATCTTTTTGAGAGTCTCACTCCCCTTATAATTTTCTAGCGGGTGGGGTTCTATGTTTATGTTTATGCCTTCTTAACTCTTTCAGGCCCATGAATTTTGACAGACTTGGCCCACATTAATTTCTCTTTACAAAAATGGCAGAGGGGTGGGTGTACGAGAAAGGCTGTACAGATTGTAATGTACTTCTAATCCCTATAAAAGTATATATTTTAAAAGAGAAATGAATGTACATTTTGAATCTGATGATAAGTGTTTGTTTGATTTTGTTATAGTTAGTGGAAAAGAAGAATTTAGCAGGTGTTAATTTCACAAAGACAACATTTCACACAAAAATTCTTCACTTACCATGGTTTTGCAGCTACAAGAGTAGTAAATATCTAAATTTGAGAACAAAACTTCAAAGTTTGTTTAATTTCCTAACATATTCTAAAGTTATGATAACTTTCTGGGTTAGTTTATCACTCAGAGGCTCTTAGTTCTCACAGAGTGCTAAGCAAAATTTCAGAGAAAAAATGGCAGAAAAATGAGCCATTACACACACGCTATTTACTATTCACTGTACAGTTATTTACAGACTGTAGCTGCGATGATTTCAATGTAGCTTAGCCCTAGTATAGAACTGTCTCTTTGTTTAGAGCACTTTCCTTCTCTTACACCATAAATACGGTAGCATGGGACATTGTCTGTGTAGTAAACTCATCAGAATCGCTAGATTCCGAACAGCTGATCGCTCAGCTTCACTGGTGAAAATTCACCGTCCGAATCACTTTCCGAAAAATCTAAATTTTTATTATCATTATCACAATTAAAAACATCTGACTAAAACAATTTCAGAGCTTCGGCCGCAGAAAGATGCATTCTGCAACCTGTTCTTGTGGTTAGAACATTGGTATTCATGGTACTCAAAAACGAACTTAGAAAATGAACTGTTAAAAAAATTTCGAGGTTTTTTTCTCTCAAATTATCCACGGTGGTTTAGTCCAGGAAATGAAACTAAAAGGATTTCGGCAGAGTGACTTTCCCTGAATAGTTTAATCATACCTCCAAACATAAGAAACTAGTACGAACGCGCGTGCGAAGCAAAATGTAAGGGACACACGATTGACGATGACACTGTATTGTTTGGGCAGAACGGAACTTCTCAAACTACGCTTACACTGTTGTTTGGGCCTTAAAGAGTTAATGTGTGTTATAATAATTATTATCAAGGTTTTAATCTGGTGGTTTATTACGGTAAACAGCACTGGCACTTTTATATTTTATGGCATAACTTTTTAAAAAATAGACACTTTGTGGTGAGTACGGGAAACAAAAATTATATTATTTTTAATTAGGACACAATCGACTTCGCAGCCACATGTACACAGAATTTAAAATTGGTGAATCAGCCATGTGAATTGGCACCTGAGATCATGACCTCCAAGACTGTCCCAAATACAATATATCAAAGCAAAACTTTTGGCCAAGAAAAAACATAAGTGCAAGTCAAACTTTACCGGTCGCTGATTAAATTACAAAAGGTAGCAAAGTTCATACTAGAGACAACATTGCATATATAGATAATTTATTTCAGGCGAATGAAAGAAGAAGAAGTATGAGAGGAATGGCGATTAAGTTATAATATGTTTAAAATAATATAAAATGTATAAACAAATACTTAGAAAGAGAATGTCTTTACATGTTATATATGGTTGGAAAGGGGGGGGGGGGGGGTGGTAACGAGGACTACTTAGCCCCATTGCAAATTGTCTAGGACAGTGGTCATCTTCCTTTGTTTATTTGGGTCATGCCTTAAGTATTTGGCACCCCCAAGTATATTGCAAGGGCCCCTCCTTCCTCCCAACATGAAATTTTTTTTAATACAATAGATTCTGCAACATAAAGTATGGAGATAATTTTTGGTCAGAATATGTTCTTAATCTGTAATTAAATGCACATGTTATCATATTAATTGAATTTTTTTACATTAGATGTACACACTGCTCATTGGAACAAGCATGATCTTGTCATTTTGTTAAATAAAGAGTTGACAAATATGTTTTATTTATAATTGAACTAAAACACAATGTAAGTACTTGTATAAACGTACATATGCACTCACTTTCAAAGTTGTTTGAGGCCCTTCTTGAAACCTTATCTCACACCCTAGATTAGAGACAACTGGTCTAGAGAGTGTGGGCTCAAGGGACAGCAGCACCCAGGTTGGAGACCACTGGTCTAGAGTGTGTAGGCTCAAGGGACAACAGCCCCCAGGTTGGAGACCACTGGTCTAGAGAGTGTGGGCTTAAGGGACAGCAGCTCCCAGGTTGGAGACCACGGGTCTAGAGGGTGTGGGCTCAAGGGACAGCAGCCCCCAGGTTGGAGACCACTGGTCTAGAGGGTGTGGGCTCAAGCGACAGCAGCCCCCAGGTTCTGGTCCCTTTGTTCCTGTAGATGCCAGTCCTGTCCAGGGCTCTGACAACCTAAGTGCCAGTGCATTGACCATAAAGAGTTACAACTCATAATCTTCTAAAAAATTCAGAGTCAACTCAACAAAACTAATTATTAAATTGATGTCTCTCTTTACTTTTTCCGTTCTGTCAACTGTTTTCACACTAACCATGCAACCCTAAATCCTCAGGCTCAAAGACCCAACTGTCTACACCATAAACAGGGGTAAATACAGGCAGAAACTGGAAGTTTTTCAGCAGTCTGTATTTCTCTCTCACTCATCGTCTGTCTTTCCCACCTCTCTCTCTTTCATTGTCTGTCTTTCCCTTCTCTCCCTCTCTCTCTCTCTCTCTCTCTCTCTCTCTCTCTTTCTGTCTCTCTCTCTTTCATCCCCTCTCTCTCATTCTCTCTTCTCTGTTTTTGTCCGTCCCAGTTATGCAAATAAAATGCCATTTTGTGAATATTAATTTTTCCTGTGCCAGCTGCCTGTTGTCTTTGACATTTTACAGGACATAAATCAGTCTCTTAACTATAAATGGCTGATAAAAGCCTAAAAGTCTGCTTTATTACCTTCTTTATTCAACTTTTACATAATTCTCATCTTTCTACTGTTTGATTTTGATTTAAGGATTCTAAAGCTGTGAATCGCTTCAATGGGTGTAGAGCAGATGATTCGTGGACAATATTGTTAACACTGAAAGATATATCAACTAGTGATCAACTAGCCAGACCGCACAACAGTGACTACATTTACTTCTTAACTGTCAGTTGCCCTAATAAAACTTGCATTAGACACTTTTTCGCTGACGGTATGAATGCAGTATGGCAATGCTGTTCAGCTAAGTTTACACAAGGGCCACGATTTTCAAAAGTGGTGTCTGTGGCTTAGGCGTTGCGAGCCCGACTCATAATTCCAACGTACCGCGATCGAAACCTACTGCTGGCTGCGTGGATTTTTATCATTGTATGGGGCGTCGCAGGTCAACCCAGCCTAAAATGGGTACCAGGTTGCATGTCCTGGGAAAGTAAAGACGGCTGACGTAATGCTGACCACCTTACCCACCTAGTGCTGATTGGACTGTAAAAATATGGGTGCTCTTTCCATATACTTAATGGTAAGTTTTCCCTCGATACTGGTAAGTTGTCCCTCATGTCTATTTTTATGTTCTTTAGAAAATTCAAATTATCTTCATGCTAGGTGTGAGTATATGGTGTTAAAAGTGTGTTGACCTTCTTTTATTTACAGAGCTGTGGGTAAAACATGCCTGCTCATCAGCTACACAACAAATGCCTTCCCAGGGGAATACATTCCAACAGTGTAAGCAGTGTTTTATCATTTGTGTACATATTGCGATTATAAAATAAACATAATTATATATATATATATATATATATATATATATATATATATATATATATACATACATACATATATATTGCCCTACAGTAAACTTTTAGGAATCCTGGGTCTTGAAAGATTAGAAAAACTTGGACATCATAAGAGATGTTTTTGCTTTGCTGAGAGGTGTGTGTCACCGGGGCCCTCACGGGGAGCAAAGAGTCGTGACACTGCACCCTACCAGGAATATCGTAAGAGGCGACTGAGTATAGGGTTGGGCTTGAGGTTGGCTACCTCATCCTGTAAAAACAATAGCCACAAAACCCAACCAACCAGGGATAAGTCAAATAAATTTCAGACATTCATTAACTGGTGCCTGCGCAGAATAGAGGGAATTAAATGGTATGATAGTATAACTAATGTAGAGCTTTGGGAGAGAACTAAGCAAGCTCCAGTAGACCAAGAGGTAAAGAAAAGATGATGGTGTTGGATAGGACACACATTGAGAAAACTAGAGAACAGTATAACTAGAATGTCTTTGCATTGGAACCCACAGGGGCATAGGAATAGAGGAAGGCCAAAAACATGGAGAAGAGAGCTAGAGAATGAAGTTAGAAAGATGTGGATGACATGGGGAGAGCTCCATGTAATAGCAAAGGATAAAATGACTTGGTGTGAGTTGATTGAGGGCCTATGCTCCATTAGGGGATAGAAAGGCAGAAGAAGAAGAAGAAGAGGAGCTAACAATCCTTAGCAGATAAGTATACCAATGTCCAGGTATAGCAGGATGTGGATTCTGAAAGGCAGATTATTACTTACATTGTAACAAGCAAAACATCAACCAGAGTAAAAATGAAAACTAGCTAACTTCCAGATAAAATACCATCACAAACAACAAAATGAACATTACAGCTAGAAAGCTTTCATCAGCATACAACATGGACAATGAATGATACAACTACATAAGAAAGTGCATAAAATAATTTCGATCTAAAGACAAGTTCACTGCAGGTCATCCATAAACTCCATGTCCCATCAGCGGTTGAAAAGTAGGACAGCACCCTCACTGAGCTCAAGATAGTCATTATTTTTAGTAGTTTTATAAGAAGGCGGCACAGTAGGCTAGTGGCTAGATGCTTGCATGGTGGTCCAAAGGTCTTAAGTTTGTATGCAGTGCAGATATTGCAGCTGAGCTGTAAACCACAGCATGATAACTACCCTTTTAAGGGTGAATGCAGAATAATATTAATAATGGGAAGACAGAAGCACTGAGAATATCAAAGAGACAAATCGTGTAAATGTGTAATTAAAGTAAGTAATGTTCATTTGGAAAATTTCAGAAGTTCAGGTATCTAATCACATTTATAACATAAGACAGTAAGTTTATCACAGATAAAAAAGAATGATAATAGCAAATTGAAATAAATGCATTTTATAAAATTATAAGTTTATAGTAAACTTGTTTATTCAAGTCAGGAAAAATGATTATAACAGCTACACATAGAGCTGTTTAACATATGGCTGTGAATCCTAGACAATTATTGAATAAGCCAAAAAATCTCTCGAGGTCTAAGAGGTGTGGTTTTAGAGATGAATGCGTAGAGTTACTTTATAAAAATAATTATCATCATCATCCTTCCTATGCCGTTAGACGTCACATTGTGCTTGCATTCGATTACTCCACTACAATCTTTTGCATGCAACTCTCTTGATTTCTGACATGGAGTTTAGCCTGGCATTTTTAGCTTCTCATGATAATGTATAAAATTATTGTTATAATAAAATAATATGTTTGTCTGAATGTACTAGATTCGATAACTATTCAGCTAATGTGATGGTGGATGGCAAACCTATCAACCTGGGATTGTGGGACACAGCTGGACAAGAGGACTATGACAGACTGCGACCTTTGTCATACCCACAGACAGTAGGTTTCTGTCATTGTAACTTTTCATGAAAGCTTCTTTAATTTAGAAAGAACAGTTAACTTGATTGATATTATGCAGTAAATGGGTTCAGTGACTATGCTGATGGAGTGAAATTGTAAAGTCTGTCTTTCTTCTTCTTCCTCTTCTTTTGTCATCTCATTGATACCAAGTTGTAGCCCAGTGTCAGGGGTTTCTTTATTTGTCTTGTGCTTCTCAGGTGGTTTAGGTGATGGATTTGTTTACCTTTTTGTCAGGTTTCAGCTACACCATTTATCCTTCTATTTCTTGGTCTTTCTCTTGCCTTCCTTTCAGAGTTCTGCTGTGAAAGATCTCATGTGCTGTTTGATCTGACTGCATTATGACTTGATGATCGAACTGTTTCATTCTTCTTTCTATATTTCTGTCTTCATTTACCTATTTTTAGTGCATTTTACACAAGTGGGGGTGCTTGGGGTAGGGATCCTTGAGCCTGAAGATTTAGGTCTGCATGGCTAGTGTAGTTGCCACAAACTGTGCAAGTAAGGAAATGTTCTGCTAGCTTCATTGGTTAACTCATTCACTACCAAAGAACACACCTTATTTGTATTCCTTTCTGCATACATGAGATATGTTTCTGAACTTGTGTACCTCTTCTGCTTGTTAACTCGCTATACCTTGAGTATTACTGTAAATCTTTTCATCTCATGACATTACTGTGTTAACACCCATTGAACCACACATTTATTAGTTCATTTAGCAACTTTGCAGAATAGAAAGGATTTTAAAGTATCACCTGTGGGGGATTAAAATAGTTAGACACAATCTGCAGTCAGTGAGTGATGTTATCAGTTACCCTGGCCACCTTTATTTCCCCAGAATATTTCCTGGTATATATGTTTGGATGGGTCAGTTGTGAAAACCAGTGTCAGTGTTTAAAAATCCCTGCATTGACAGGAGTTTTTCACATAATCTACTAGACTGGCAGTCAAATGTGCTTGTTCGTTAATGAGGGAATTGTTACTGATACCATAGAAACTGATTTGCTGTCTTTGTGTGTTTATTTTTGTGTATGTATGGGTTTCAGAAGTGGCAAATCTGCCATTTGCAAGAATTACTAATCCTTTTCCTTGTTTCTTCCACAGGACGTGTTTCTTATCTGTTTCTCATTGATAAGCCCCACCAGCTTTGAAAATGTTCGAGCTAAGGTAAAGTTTATTTTCATCTGACACTAAAAACATTCTATTAGTAATCCCTCTTCTTCTGCCTTCATCCGAAGATGTAAATGCATTGTGCCCGTTTACAATTTAGCTCCAATATTGGCGCCTTTCAGACACATATCCGACATCTGCTGGCATTAAGTGCCTGTGTTAGCCTTCCCAGTAATAGTAAACCTGTAGCATAGACTTGTAAAATACTAAACATTTCCTATTCACCACATCCCGAAATTGAAATTCTTCAGCAAAGCAACAGGTAAAGAGAGTGCTGATTTGAGATGAACTAGGCTTTTTTTCCTCTTTCCCAATAAAGACTTCAGTGTTATCTGTCGGCACAGGACACAGTGCCTGATACTATTAAATGTCTTGGTTTGAAAGGTTATTTCATAACTACAAGTACCTTCTGTGCACTGGATTTAGAAATATGTTAACAGTTTTTATATCCCAGTTGAATCTTTGTTGTGCGCTGATACTGTTTTTTTTTTAAAACTTAGACCATGTAGTTTAATTTTTAAAAATCCAAACCATGAATAAACAGCTGAAAATAAAGAGTGAGAATCAATAACAAAATCCATGTTCTGTTTAAATCACCCCTAATTACTGGCCCCATGAAGACTAATAAACTGCAATGGCTTGGGCAAATAAAGAGAGTGGCAGATAACAGAGAGACAAAAAACTGTACACAGAAGAGTTGAATGAGAGTAGACCACAAGGCAGGCCTAGAAGTGGGGAGATAATATGCAGGTAAATCTACAAACGTTTGGAGTCACCACATGAAAAGAAAAGGTCAGTCAAGGAGATAAAAACGAGGCAGTTCATGTCTGCAGCAATCAACCTAAGGGGCTAGCACAGAATGATAGAGAAGAAGACAGTGCATATTTTATCCCACAGCGCTTATATATTTTCTTCACCACATGAGTAGTACACATACAGGACAGTAACATATATTTTACCCTCTATATGTCAGTAGTACATAATTTTGTACACATACATGTTACTGTTGTGTTTGTGTATAAACATTATGTACTACTGACATATGGAGGAAAAAATATATAAGTTACTGGTATTCTGGTTACTGGTAATCTGGTACCAGATTACCAGTAACTTATATATTTTCTCCTCCATATGTCAGTAGTACATAATTTTTATACACAAACAGAATAGTAACATACTTTCTTCTCCATATAAGAAGTACATAATTTTGTACACATACAGAAGAATAACCTAAATCTATTTTCCCATCTTTCAACAGTGGTTTCCTGAAGTTAGCCACCATTGTCCCAGCACACCTATAATTTTAGTTGGCACTAAACTAGATCTACGGGAAGACAAGGAAACCATTGAGAAGCTGCGTGAGAAGAAGCTGTCTCCCATCACCTACCCACAAGGTCTAGCAATGGCTAAAGAAATTGGTGCAGTCAAATACCTTGAATGTTCAGCTCTCACACAGAAAGGTCTCAAGAATGTATTTGATGAAGCCATCCGTGCTGTGCTGTGCCCAAAGCCGAAGCCAAAGAAGAAGAACAAATGCAGGATTTTATGAGTCTCATGTGTATGGTTTGACCCCAGCATAGTGTATTTTGTATTGCTATATTCAGCAGGTTTAAAAAATCATCACCATTAAACACAGCTGTGGTAGGTTTTATTTTGTAATTGGAATTTTAGATATGCTTTCCAGTTTAATTTTTTCTGCCAGACTCTTCCTTCCAGTTTAATTTATTCTGTCAGACTCTTCCTTTCAGCTTAATTTATTCTTTCAGACTCTTCCTTCCAGTTTAATTAATTCTGTCACACTCTTCCATCCAGTTTAATTAATTCTGTCACACTCTTCCTTCCAGTTTAATTAATTCTGTCACACTCTTCCTTCCAGTTTAATTAATTCTGTCACACTCTTCCTTCCAGTTTAATTAATTCTGTCACACTCTTCCTTCCAGTTTAATTAATTCTGTCACACTCTTCCATCCAGTTTATTTAATTCTGTCACACTCTTCCTTCCAGTTTATTTAATTCTGTCACACTCTTCCTTCCATTTTAATTAATTCTGTCACACTCTTTCTTCCAGTGTAATTTATTCTGTCAGACTCTTCCCAGTGTCTAAGTGTTTGTAATAATGACACCACCACAAAGGCGGTGGAGACTTAACAGTTAAAGCTACTGCCTGTGTTAGCTGGTTTAATGCAGACTTGTCAGGTTTTTTTTTTTTAGATTGAGCCAGGAATACAGTGGAACCTCAGAATATGAATTTAATCCATTCCATACTAAGCTCATATGGTGAATAACTTGCATCTTGAAACTTGTCCCGTTAGCATTAATGTAAATAATCCTAATTTGTTCCATTAGTTTCAAAATGGTGTTTTCCGTTTTGTTAATGGGTAAAACATGTGGCACTGCTTTTTGTTTTTATTTTTTAATTTGCCAGCAGTGGAATACGGAGTTACTTTAGACTATAATGCTAGAGTTTATCATCATCAAGTGTTATGCCGACTGACTTAAGTCCTCCTTTGGCAGTATGTGACCTAATCCATTTAAAAGTTATGAGATGCTGTTGGGTAACAACAAGAGTTTTTGTCCCTTTTGCTTGTATTCTTGGGGAGGGGGGGGGGGGGGGATAGCAAGCCTAAATTTGTATCATGAACAACTCTTAGCTGTGTACACAGATACCATGAGGTTCCACTGTATTGGTCACCTGTCAGAGTGTGAGAAAGTACACACAGAAAGGACCAGAGTTAGTAAGCAAATAAAGTCGTAATCTAGGTTAGATAAAGCCACATCAAAATGTTGTAACTTTTGCTATAAAATAGTTTATGTTTGGTCTGTGTTCTCAACCACAGTAGTGATGTTCTGAATATTTTTCTTTTACCTGTTTTCAAAAACAAAAATTTTTTTGTCATATTCTTTTGGCTGCTAAACTTCTTTGCATGTCTGAAGGTAGCAGTGAAATGTCTGTTAATAATACTATAGTGTTTAGTGTTTAGAGACATGTACTGTTTAGTTTTATTTTCTTAAATAAACTTTAACTGCTGTTGCTTGATTGTAAAACTTTGGGAATATGTAATCACTTGATATAGACAATGGACAGTAACACAAGTCTATTGTTTAGATAGGAATGGATTGATAACTGTTTGTTTCAAAACTGCTTTTACGTTGTGTTTAGTGTACTAGATGCTCATTATCAATATCTGCCACATGTGAGCAAAGAATGTGGACATTTTTCTTAATTCTTTTTAAATGCTCTCCACAGCTTCATTGTTTATATAAACTCTTAGATAAAGATATGCATTGCTCATTATTTATAGATGTGTTCGTAGCTGATTGATTCTAAATGCTGTTTCAGTTTCTGGGCTGTTGACTTTAAATGCTGTTTCAGTTTCTGGGCTGTTGATTATAAATGCTGTTTCAGTTTCTGGGCTGTTGAATATAAATGCTGTTTCAGTTTCTGGGCTGTCTTCATGCTAATGCTGTGGAATGCCCATCTGCTGTAACTGGTAATCTGACTTTGGTTCCCCAGATAAGGTTTATTCAGATTTATGACTGTTATGTCTAGTACCAAATATGGGTTAGCTGGCAGATTGGCTCACAAGGGGATCAACAGTTGAATGTTTCAGGAGGAACTTTGCAGATTATCTTGGTAAACTCTCCTTGGGTTGAACAAAATCTGCTGATCAAATCATGCAGTTTCCACAGCAGCAAAATAACTGAACACATTTGTTGAAGATGGAGAGCCCTAGAGACAGCAGGGTTAAGCAACACATATTAGAACTAAAATGTCCATATGTGGATTCACTCTGGGGAAGTCAGAAGCTAGTAATATTAGTCAAATAATGAAAAGCAGTAAATGTTAGAGCAAAGATATCTTTCTGTATAACCTACAGCATGTAAAATAATAAAAACAGAACACAGCGAATCCTTTATAAAGAAGGTAGAGAGATGAACGTGTATATTATAATGGATAAAAAGGCATCAGTTACAAAAAAATATATAAAAAAGTATGCATTATATGAAATAGCAATAGACACTCTTTAACTAGATTATAATCAGAGAGATTGAACAAGATATCACATTTAAAAAGCTAAAATGCTGGTTTCAGTAAATAGACAATAGACAAATAGAGCTTGTCAGCTGGGGACAGTAATCCATGTAAGGAAGCACATCCTAACAAAAAAGCAGAGGTGCCGGGCCAGAAAGACCAGAAAGTTCACAGCCAAACCTGAAAACTATGCCATCATGCAATTCCTTCATATAATGTCTATGACTGAAACCACAGAATACTGCAGATATACTCTCTACCACATACAGTAGAGAGAACCCATGTTTGGCTAGTTAGCATTCTAATGGAAAACCCACTGTATGGAACAGTGGAAGATGTGCGTCACACCATGGACTTCATAGAGGCATGTGATCTTCTCACATGAAAACCTCTGGCAGAAAGAGTGAAAAGAAAAAGAAGAGAAGAAAAGCACCCGTAGTTAGGATACAACAACTGGTTATGAGTGAGATATTCTGATGAATAAATAAGTATTTTTTATACAGTATGTGATGAGTCTACCAGTATGAATGCAGTTAACCTAAACCATTACCAGTGCATGAGACAAAAGGCTGAGGACAAACATGATTACCATCTCCACTTGGCATGGGACAAAAAGACAGTGAGCTAGCTGCAGAAGCATGAAAATTCACATCCCTTGTCATGCAGGGTAAACTGATTACTCAAAATTTTACCTGAAGTGCACTGACATTACATCTAACCAACAGCAGTATTTGAAAGATCACATTTATCACTGAAAAATGCATTGCAGACCGCTAAAGGCGATCTTGGATGTGGCTAATTTTTGTTGTAAAGAATAATTTATTTATTCCCTGCAATTTGTTTCCTTGCCTTTGTACTGGGTAAGAGGAATTTCACACAAGAACAGCAATCACTTGGGTCCCTGGTGAGTTCTCCTTAGCGGATCTGCACTGTGCAAACCTTTGCTATTAATGAGATCTCAGATGCAAGCAAGAGAATGGCAGTTATCTTCAAAATTTTTTTTACATTTGTATACAGTCTCTTAATCACATGAAGACTTGTTTTTTTGTTTTGTTTACCTCAGCTGCTAGCTATTTATCATGACATGTTTTAAATGAGACGTGTAAAAAACCTTTATTGGAGGTGAAGTTTTTTTTCTTGTGCTGCAGGGAAGGAAATCATTGTTGCTGTAGTGTACAGCTTTCCAAAAATGTCATGTTGGTGTCACTTTTTTGGACAAACAAAACTTTGAGGCACAGTAATTCAGTCGACTAGCAAACCTGAGATAATAAACTAACCCCTTATAGAGATATGCGGCGTCCGTGGCTTGGGCGTTTGCGAGTCTGACTCGTAATTCCACTCACCGCGATCGAAACCCACTACTGGCTGCGTGGATTTTTATCGTGGTATGGGGTGTCACAGGTTGACCCAGCCTAAAATGGGTACCAGCATGGCTGTCATGGGGAAGTAGAGACAACCGGTGTAATTCTTTCCACATTACCCATCTAGTGCCGATGGTCTGAAAAAATATGGCCGCTCTTCCCCTGAGAAGGGATCTTTACTTACTTTATAAGAGATATGGGAACATGAATACATTGTTTAACACTTTAGTTCTTGCAGCACACCTTCACACTGCAGCCGACACACTCATCTGTGTCACAACACACCGTTTGCAAAGCTCTGCTTTAGTGACCACTTTTATAACATGCCTGCTCAATTGTTTTTTTGTTTTTTTTTAACTGGTTTACTTCAGAATTTATTATTGTAATTTACATCATTTATTATTCTTGATATTCAACATAAATTTATAACTTACAGTTCAGGATTTTCAGCGTACAGTTATCATACCTGATTTTTAGTTTTCAGCATACAATTAACATACAGTTTTGTAGTTTCTCAGCATATGTTTGCCATATACAGTGTATGGTTTTCAGCATACATTTATGACACACAGTTCCTGGTATTCCGCATATTTTTACATCTCATGAGTCATGTTCCCAGCATACATGTATCACACACAGTTCATGGTTTTTAGTAAACTACAAAATTTTTTGTTTTTCAAAATATGTTGACCACACTTGGTTCATGGTTTTCTGCATGTATTTGCCACACATAATATATGATTTTCAGCTTACATTTGCCACAAATAAGTCATGGTTTTCAGCATAAATTTTGCTACACATAATTTAAGTTTGAGTTTATATTTACCACAAACGATTCATGCTTCAAAGTATGCAGACAGGTTTACTACACATGGTTCATGGTTCCCAGCATACATTTACCACACTTGATTTATGGTTTTCAGCATACATTTATTACAAATGATTCATGGTTCTCAGTTTACGTCTGAGCTAACCTTTTACACGACACTTTTATACCAGACATGTCTTATGCATGCTGCAATTATGAACAACATTCTGCAACATGGCAACTATGAACCTCTTTTAACTACAGTGAAAAGGTGAAAAATGAAATGGTATGGACATGTAATAATATCAAACAGCCTCTCAAAAACAATACTGATGGGTTCAGTTGAG